GTACAGAACCAAAAACGATTGTATGAACACATAATTATTGTACATCTGGCAACACTGTTTAGCATCTACACGGTGATATCCATCTGGAACTGCACATATCTGAAATCTATCCATCTATATGGGTTGTGGGGCTCGCTGGTGTCCATGTCGTTGGAAAAAACAAAACAAAAAAAGTGCTATTTGAAATTGATCATTAAAAATGTATTGAGTTTGTTTATGTGAGTCTCTATAAATGTTTAAGTGAAAGAAAATTTTTTAAATGAACGCAACACATGCTATTTGTTATAATTTCAAGTTCTCTTGGCACACATCAGCATGATATCTCCCTTTAGATAAAGTATCTTATAACATCATTTGCACTCTGGGACCACATTACTGATGATGTTCTAGTTTGTGTGAAAATAAAACGATCTACAAACGTCTTGCAGCCTCACCATAAATATGTCAGAAACATTCACGTGTTAAATGAACACCATACTTTCAAGGAATGTGTGAAATATATTGTTCATTGCATTGTCTTGTGCAGTTTATTTGATTATTTTACAAAGTTGTAAGCAGAGCAGATTCACAATAATAATGTATCTCCATCCTTCTGTTATCTTCTACCTTATTTTTTACCTTCTTCTTCTTTTACCCTTTACCTTCTTCCTTTTTGGTTTGGGGTGGGGGTTCACTGGTGCAGCAGTCACTGTGCGAGAGACGGCTGACACCCTAGACAAGTCTCCAGCCCAGGGACAAATAGAGACAAATGAGACAAACATCCATTAACTCTCTCATTCACACTAGGGACAATTTAGAGTTACCATTGGTGCTTGAAAGTTTGGGAACCCTTTAGAATTTTATATTTTTCTACATAATTATGACCTAAAACTTAATGAGAATTTCACAAAAGACCTAAAAGTAAACAAAGTGGACCCAGTTAAACAAACAAAACAAAAATATTATACTTGTTCATTTATTTATTGAGGAAATTGATCCAATATTATGACAAAAGTATGTGAACCTCTAGGATTAGCTGTTAATTTGAAGGTGAAATTAGAGTCAGGTGTTTTCAGTCAGTGGGATGATGATGATCGGGTGTGAGTGGGCACCTGTTTGATTTAAAGAACAGGGATCTATCAAAATCTGATCTTCACAACATGTTTAGTGCAGCATGGCAGGAACAAAGGAGATATCTGAGGACCTCAGAAAAAGAGTTGTTGATGCTCATCAGGCTGGAAAAGGTTACAAACCATCTGTAAAGAGTTTGGACTCCACCAATCCACAATCACCCAGATTGTGTACAAATGGAGGAAATTCAAGAGCATTGTTACCCTCCCCAGGAGTGGTGGATGAACAAAAATCACTCCAAGAGCAAGGAGTGTAATAGTCAGCGAGGTCACAAAGGACCCCAGGGTAACTTCTAACTGAAGGCCTCTCTCACATTGACTGATGTTAAATGTTCATGAGTCCACCTGTCAGGGGAATTTAGATAAAGGTCAAAAAAGTCCATGCTCAATAATCCAGGTATACAATCCAACAATTTTCAGTCAGGTCATCTGGACAGTTTCTTTTTTTGCTGAAACGTTTCACCTTCCATCCAGAAGGCTTCATCAGTCAAGGAAACACACAACACAAAACTGATTCTTCCTCACGCACGGAGGAGGTGAGAGGATTATGTTTATTATTTGTGGGAATTCTGGGACCTCCGCAATGATTTCTGGGGGAAACGGGGGTTCCAGCATTATTTTTTGTAGCCGGGGGCTAATATTTATCATTCTCAGGGGAGTCACAAAGGGACTTCTGTATAAATGAGAGTACCACGGAGGGGTACGGGGAGATCTGATATACCACACAATGGTCATGAAGGGACTGGCTTAAAAAGAAAATGTTATGCAGGGACTTTTTTGTAAGCTGATGCCAATAAGTCACAAAGGGAGTTAAACAGATTAAGTAAAAGACAAAAAAAAAAAAAAAAAATGGGAAGAAATGTGAGCATGAGCATGAAGTTGGATGAATTGGTTGCTTTCTGTGGTATGAGCAGGACGGCAGATAAGAATGGTGTCTTGTGTGTGTGTGTGAAAATGGTGCCAGTGTGTATGTGAGTGTAGTGTGAGCAATCTAGAGATTAAGAAGAAAAAAACTCTAAAGAGAACAAAGACTCTGTCTAGGCATTAAAATAATGAGTGGAGCCAGGGTGTATGTGTGCGTGGGACTGAGGCATTAAGACAGAAGACAAAATAAAACTAAGAATGCTGAAAGTTTATTTTTATTTTTTTATTTCTTTTTATTTGAAATCTGATTTGGGACAGAATTGTTTCCTTTCCTCCTGGGCGTGACTGGCATGCGAGTCACCTGTTGCAGCGGGTGTGACTTTCTTCTCTCCTTGGGTGATGTGATCGGCAGAAGTGAGACAGACGTGACACCAGTCCCGCAGGACTCCCTGCTACTTTGCTCTGCTCATTTTGCTTGAAAGCCTTGAAGATGTTCACTTGACCATTCACTCCAAAACTCCTGTCCATCAGTTCTGCAGGATGACACTAGCAGAACAACTTCTATACAAATCTTCAATCCCAAGCTGATAAACATAATCTACTTATTTTACCCAACAACACCACCTTCAGGAGAACACTGAACAGCAATGGTGCGCATGGCAGGGCGGCAAGGAGAAAGTCACTGCTCTCCAAAAAGAACATTGCTGATTGTTTAGAGATTTTTAAAGATCACGCTGACAAGCCAGAAGACTGTTGGAAGAATGTTTTGTGGAAGGATGAGACCAAAATAAAACTTTATGGTTTAAATGAAAACTGTTATGTTTGGAGAAAAGAAAACTCTGCATTCCTGCATAAGAAACTTATCCCACCTGTGAAACACGGTGGTGGTAGTAAATGGTAAATGGACTGTACTTATATATCACCTTTCTATCTTACTGACACTCAAAGAGCGTTACAACACAATCTGTGCCCTCATTTACCCATTCATACAGCACTCTACTAGATCTCTACAAAGAAAAATTACTGCTTTATCAAATTCATACACCAATGGGACACATCGGAGGCAATGAGAGTGTTAATGTCTTGCCCAGGGACACTTTGGCATGTGACTGCTGGTGGAATTGAACCCCCAACTTTTGCATTGGAGGATGACTGCTCTAACCACTCAGCCACCCAGTATCATGGTTTGGGCCTGTTTTGCTGCATCTGGACCAGGATGTCTTGCCATCATTGATGGAACAATAAATTCTGATTTATATCAGAGAATTCTAAAGGAAAATGTCAGAACATCTGTCCATGAACTGAATCTCAAGAGAAGGTGGGTCATGCAGTGAGACAATCACTCTAAACACAAAAGTTGTTCTACCAAAGAGTGGTTCAAGAAAAATAAAATTCATGTTTTGGAATGGTCAAATCAAAGTCCTGTCCTTAATCCAATCCAGATGTTGTGGAAGGACGTGAAGCAGCAGTTAATGTGAGGAAACCACCAACATGCCAGAGTTGAAGTTCTGTACAGAGGAATGGACTAAAATTCCTCCAAGCTGGTGCAGGACTGATCAACAGTTACTGGAAATTTTTAGTTCCAGTTAATGCTGCACAGGGGGGGTCACACCAGGCACTGAAAGCAAAGGCTCACATACTTTTGCCTCTCATAAATATGTAATATTGGATCATTTTTCTTCAATAAATAAATGATCAAGTATAATATTTTGTCTCATTTGTTTAACTGGGTTCTCTTTATATACTTTTAGGACTTTTGTGAAATTTTGATTTAGTGTTAGTTCATATTTATGTAGAAATACAGAAAATTCTAAAGGGCTCACAAACATTCAAACATCACTGAAACATGCATGTTTTTGGTCTGTGGGAGGAAATTTAGGGTACCCGGAGAAAACCCACACATGCACAGAGAGAACACAACAAAAGCAAAAGTTTAGTAAACACCAAGGTATAATCTTCATAAATGCTGATGTGTTATGTTTTTAATCTTTGTCACATATTTTGCGTTTGGATTATCTCCACTTGTCAGCAGTTTTGGGAGTTGGTGATTATGTCAAGGGAAACAAACAGAGTAAGAATTTCATATGTGTTTAATAAATATATTTTTACTGTGTTGTTTTAGCTTTATACAGAAAATTCATTTATTCTAATATGAAGAACTATTCTGTGTAGAAAATGTTGATCCTTGTGGTTTTATAAATCAAATGTTGCATGGTTTTGTCTTAAATAACAATTTCGGTCTAAGTTTTTCTGAAAATTATTGACGTTTCAGTGGAATGATTGTTAGTTATTATTCCAACAGAATTTCAGGTTTGACCAATAATACAACTGGTCTGTTGAAAAGGTGGAACAAATTGCATCTAGACTGAGCAGTTAAAAAGTGTCTGCATGGACTGACACAGGCTGAAGAGCTTACCTTTATAATTTGTGTTAAACATTTGGGTAGCTGAGCATGACTTTTCAACTGTAGTTGATTAAAAAAATGTCTGAAAAGAAGGTGCATTATTGTATAAAGATTTTTTATGCTTTTGGTGGTCATACATTTATCCCAAATAACATTTTATATATTATCATCAATGTTTTTTTTAAATTTCTTATTATACTTCTATTTTGGTTTCATGTGCATTTTCAAGTAACATCTTCAAAAAATTTGATTGTACTGTGTAAATATACATAATTTTTATATTGTGCAAAGATCTGTAAACGTTTTCAGGGGAATGTTTCAACAAAATGATCAAGAACATGGTCATGAATGTAAAAAAACAATAATATTAAACAACAAAAACTCCTCCAAAACAAAATATTAACAACTTTTCCAGGAACTACTAGAATTAAAGGTTAACAATACAAATAACATTTACATTAAATATAAAACATTCATTCAGCTTGTGTTCGTTTTTGCAATATTTACATTTATGAATTGGCGAACACTTGCAACGTCTATAAACAGTGTGAAACCAATCATCTTCGAAAGTTTGGACTTTGTTTAGATAAAACACCAGATGGTGTTTGGTTCCCACTTCCTCTTTATGACTCTACTGTGTAATTCTCGCTTGAATTTTTGTCCATTTTTATATCTGATATATGCAGATCATAATGAAATCCTGCATTTGTCTGCCCTTGTTTGTGACGATTTTGAACCTCTTCAAAAATTTCAAGAACCTGAAAAACAAGCAAGAAGGTACATCAGGTGTTAATATTAGCTGGAACACAAATTAACAACATTTTCCATTGAATGAAGAGAACAGTGGATGATATTTATTTTTACCTTTGATTTAGGAATGAGACCCACTCTGAAGAAACCAATATTCCCAGTTTCAATCTTTGTGCAGTCAACAACAGTAGATGCAATATTTTCTGGGGATGGTCCATCACACAACACTCCATCCACCTATAAGCAATATAATTATTATATTTTTTTTCAATACAATAAAAAAAAAAATTCCCGTTGACTTTATTAACACTAAATCACAGTCATTACCTTTTTTCCCAGTTTGGCGTAAACTTGGTTATGGTGGGTTGTGTCTGCCTCTCCTGTTGGGTTGGC